ATTTCTTGCTTTATACGCGGGGTCATCCAAGGTTTATCTGAAGGATGAAGGCTAAATCAGGAGTTGAAGGCTAAAAGATTATTGAAGGTTAATTTTAGATTATGCAAGTCTGCGAAGCAGATGAAGCATAATATTAATTATATGAGAGATATGAGACGAGATTTAACAATGCATTGTCTTTATTTTCCTTCCTTTTAAATTAAATACAGTGAAGCAAATAACTATAACATAAAGTTCTGGTACTTATGACCATATAACCGCTGGCCTACGTTCCCTCCACGTCTTTTTGTGAAACGACCTATAGAGATAAAGAAAAACAACAAAACTAGTAATAATGCATGGGGGGAACCCCTTACCGGGAATGCATTGTTAAATCTCGTCTCATATCTCTCATATAATTAATATTATACTGCATCTGCTTCGCAGACTTGCATAATCTAAAATTATACTTCGAGATACTCGACTTCAATTTAACAATGCATGTTCAAAGCTAAAATAAATAAACGTGTCAAAGATTAGATGCTGATAAAACTGCATTACCAGGTGAAACATTGATGATGCCCTGTAATAAAACTTTGAGAACGTACTCTCTCGAGACCAATCTGCCATACCTAAAATCTCAGGAAGAGAAACTCCCTGTTAAAAGCCTCAGAAGTAGAAGCACCTCTAATAGAATGAGCAGAAAAATATCTGTATCTACGCCCGACAAGTCCAACAGATATTTAATCCATCTCGCCAGAGTGGAAGATGAGACGGGATTATGTGGGCGAATATATGACAAAAACAACTTGTTTGGCTGTTTAATGTCATTGGATCTGAAATTCCTAGTGCGATCTTCGTACCACTTTAAACATTCAATTGGACATAAGTCCTTATCATCCTTAAACGTAGCATGGAAGCTACACTTAGGGGAGTCACCAGGCCTAGACGTTTTTGATAGACCAGGTAGCTGAAAAGATACTACTTCGGGATGATAAGATCGAAACCGCAAGTCTTTCTTAGCAAGATCCGAAGATCTATCCGGAGCTGTGAGAGCAAGCAAAGTTACTAACTTGAATGATAACGATTTAATGATTGAATTTTTCATTACGCCCCAAGGATTTAAAATAGTCCAAAACCTGAGAAACTTTCCATGTATGTGTATACCTAGGTTGAGGTGGTCTTAAATGAAGCATACCCTTCAATAATTGAGATATACGAGCTGATAAGAGCCCACCTTATTAGAGTCAATCTTAGGTAAAACTGCTGATAAAGCAGAGCGATAAACATTAATAGTCCTATATGCTCTCCCTTCCTTAAACTGATCTTTAAGAAACTCCAAGATCATACTCAGAGAAACTGAAACGGGATTGACTTTCCGTTGGTCACACCAGCAAACCCATTTGTTCCAGGCTGAGGCATAAGAACTGGTAGTGTTTTGTCTCCATGCTGCCAGCAAAATGTTTCTAGTTTCCTCTGAAATAACTGCTGTTTGGAAGCATTGCTGACAGTTTCCACCCAGCCAGTTGGAGGTTGGTTAACGGGTGTGTTTGATCGTCTTTCGACAACAAATCTGTTGACATTGGAAGTAGCAAGGGGAAGTCCGTGCACAACTGGAGTAGTAATGGGTACCACATTTGAGTTGGCCAAACTGGTGCTACAAGGATTAGTTGTTCGACTCTCTAAGCAACTACTTGCCGAAGGCATCGACCAATCAGTGCAAATGGCGGAAAAGCATACCCCAGAAGAGTTTTCCAGTTCATTGAAAAGGCATCTGTTTGTATGGCCTGGGGATCTGGTTTCCGGCTGACAAATTTAGGAAGTTGGTGCGTGAGGCGAGACGCAAATAGGTCTATCTCTAAGGGATCCAATATTCCTAAGATTGTTTGGAACAAAGAAGGATTGAGTTTCCAATCGCTGGAGTCGGTCAGAACTCGTGATTCCCTGTCTGCTCGTACATTCAATCTTCCTGGGAGATATTGAGCTGAAACAACCATCTGATTCTCTAGACACCACTCCCATAAGGCAATGGCTAGGTTGGCTAACACCTGAGAATGTGTACCCCCCATCTTGTTTATGTATGCCATTGCTGTTAAATTGTGCATCAGAAGTCCTACATGAACACAAGTCTTGGTCTTCGTGAATGTTTTGAGTGCAAACGATCCGGCAAGGAGTTCGCGGCAATTTATGTGTAGTCTCTTCTCTTCTGAGCACCATGGGCCCCCTGTGCTGACTCTTTTGCAGTGTGCCCCCCAATCCTTGCGAGAAGCATCTGTTTCGATTATTAAGTCTATCGGGTGTTGGAACAACGCTCTGCCATTCCAAGCTTGGAGATGATCTCTCCACCACATCACCTCGTCCCTGGCTACCGTATCCAATGTCACTGGAGCCTCGTTAGATTGATTTCTGCTCATTCTTCAGCCTTTGAAGGTGTCTGTAGTGGGGCTGGGAATACGGCCTGAATAGAGGAGGTTAGGAGGCCCAGGAATTTTGACTCTCGGACTGAGATGTCTACTGCATCTAGTATGCTTTGACATTTTTTCCGAATTTTCTCCCTTGCTAGTTGAAGAGATAAATTTGTGGAGTCGATCAGGAAACCTAAAAACTCTGTTTGCTGACCAGGAACAAGGAGAGACTTTTTGTAGTTGGCTATGAAGCCTAGACCTTCCAGGAGATTCAAGGCTGATGCTGCGTGGTGTAGTGCTAGTGACTGAGATTCCGCCATTATCAGAATGTCGTCCAAATATATCACTAATCTTATACCCATCTGTCGGAGGACAGCTATGACAGGTTTCATCAACTTTGTGAAACCGAATGGAAGGCAAGCGAATTCGTGCAGAGTCCCTTTCCAGAGAAACCTCAGATACTTCTGATGGTCCCTCCATATTAACACCGTGAGGTACGCATCCTTGAGATCGATCTTTACGAGACAGTCGTCCTGTTTCAAAAGATCTCTCAGCATGTGAATGCCCTCCATCTTGAAATGCTCGTAAACGAGAAACTGGTTTAGTGGTTTCAAATTTATAATTGGATGATTTCCCCCGTCCTTCTTCGAAACTACAAACATTGAACTTATAAAGTCCTGGTCTAATTGAGATGGGCCTACAACTGGGTGAATTGCCTCCTTCGTTAACAGGTCCCCTATCTCCTGATCTAACACTCTCTCTTGGTCTGGGGGATAGTTGTGGCCTTCTTGGAAAAACTTGTTGAGCGGGGAAAGAGATAAGTTCTATGTGGTGGCCCTGGACAGTTTGAAGTACCCAAAATGTTTTAAGCGTCCTGTCTTTGGGACTTCTGGAATCTTGTGCTTTGCCCCCGACTGCGGATTCCATTGCCCCTGAACGACATCCTTCCTCTTGATTGGAAGGAATGAGGTTGGTTTGATTGGAAGGGACGAAATTGAAACCCTTGGCGGCCTCCACGAGGTCTTGTAAGCCCTCAGGAGCTCCCCCCCGAAAAAATGGTTTCCCGACTCTTGATGCCTTACCGATGGTCTCCGTCGTCTCTGAGCGAGTTTTAAGGCGTTGCTCAAAACTGGAACCAAAGAGTTGGCGTTCCGTGTTTGTGAAATGCTCTTGAGCCAATGATGACATCAGTGGGTTGATCTTTTTTAGGACCAACTCTCTGCGATTTACTGATAATCGAGCAGAAGCATCGCGAGTAAGGAGCTTGCATACTTTACACAGGTGAGGAAGTTTAGGACACTTTCTTGGTCCAAAACTACAGTATTGCCATTCCTAGTTGACTCCAGTATTCACAATACATTCTCAAATAATGTCGACAAAGGACCAAACACATCCAAAATGTGATCCTGCATCTCTTTGATAGGCTTGTCTGGAATGTTGATACCTTGAAGTAATTGTTTCAAGGAATGCGAAAAGTTCCTCGCTAGCTTCCCAACGAGAATTTGGGGACATAATATCGCCCTCTGTTGGTTCCAGGTCAATATCAATTAAACTACTCTCATTTGAAGCGTCGAAACGTGCACGCTTTGATACGGGCGTAGGATCTTCTACATTATTCACCGTCTCTGAATTTCGTTTGTTTGTACGGCCTGTCAGGTCATCAGACACTACAGGACTTGCTATATTTTGCATTTGCAAACCCGTTAGATCAATTGACACTACGGGGTTGGATTCTTGTGCATTAACCGTTTGATCATCACATACTCCGGGCTCTTCGATGGTTGTTTGGGCAGAAAACCCAACAGTTTTATAGCGAGCTACTGTGTTCATGTGTTTCATTTGCGACGCCATATTTTCCAAAATAGCTGCCGTGATGGACCGATGGACGAAATAAAGGCTCGATCGGCCACGATAGCCTGAGCGAGATCCTTAGAACTCATTTGCGTACCTTCTTCTTGTTCTTTACAGTTGGATGGATCTGGATTCATATCAGAGATCAGAGATGTAGGAGTGAAGCAAAAAGACGTGGAGGGAACGTAGGCCAGCGGTGATATGGTCATAAGTACCAGAACTTTATGTTATAGTTATTTGCTTCACTGTATTTAATTTAAAAGCAGGGAAAATAAAGACAATGCATTGTTAAACTGAAGTCGAGTATCTCGAAGTATATTTAGATGATTCCATATCAAATCGTTAAAAACGGCTAAAAAATCACTATCCGCGGTGGATAGCGCTATCCAACCTTCGTACTACTGGCCCAAGGTTTCAATCCATTTTATTCAACCGACCAGATTCATGTTTAGCATTTAGTTTTTTGTTGCAAGAAATTTCTGCGAGGTAGAAAAGCGCGGTGAGTTCGTACGCTATGTCTATTTAGTAGTGGCAGCATCACACAATGGGGCAATGTAGCACTCTGTCAATAAGGCCAAGTTAAACTCTATAAGTGAAAGTTCCACGCGAACATTCATATTTTACGTATTTAGATTACAAAATTTGAACGAAATATTATAATCCGAGGTTCAATACCAGCCGCATCTTCACACAATGACAATGTGGCACTGGTAGATACCTGTTTTGCTACAACTCGTCTTGCCTATAGCTATATAACAAATAAAGCCCTGTGGTTCAAAATCCTCCGCTATGTCAAAACAATTTTTAGACATTCCCGATATCAGGTTTTGGGTTTTAGTATCCATACTACACAGTACAATGTTATCTTGTGCGGATCATATCCAGCCGTTGAGTACAAAGGACTTTTACAAACAGATCTACGGGAATGTCTGCCCATCTGGTGAATTATCATGTCTACGAGAAGTTATGACAAACACCTTTCAAATGTCCTTGACCCGAAAGCAAAAAGAAAAGGTTAGCCGATTGGTATATTTTTAACAGTTTTCGTACGGTGGTAGAACATTTCTAGGTATATGAGATCTTTTAAGCGTTCGTAGCAGCAAATTCATAGCTTGAATGCTAACAATAAATCAAACACATGCGTGTAACTGGATGATCTTTCTCGAGGACAAACAACTTTGCAGATGACTAGCTATACAACCAAATATTATTGAGAGATGGGAAAAAGACTATTGAAGCCGTCCGATATGTTTATCACATGATGTTTTAAGGAATAGTATAGACTTGCGTTGATTAAAACAGTTATTTCGATAACCTTTTATTATCTCGCTAAAGGTAAACACGAGTGAACACAAATGACCGCGAATGATTTCTCCATATAGATATGCTTGCATGTCTATGGATTTTTGAGATTAAAAAAAAACTTTGTTTAGCTGGCAGTATTGTATACGACGGGAGTTACCTTCCAACCCGGTAAAGGGACAAAACAAAGATATACCGCGGACGGTCTGATTAAAGCGTAAAAAATTTAGTCCAAAAATGCTTGAATTTTTTACTAGTTGTTAGCGTTACGGGGAATTTAGACTGTTTATATGCCATCTTTGTCGCATGACCCTTCGGAAAACGAAGTGATCTTATTATGGTATGCGTCGCCCGGGATAGAATTTTATAAAACAATGTATGATATACAGAGGGTATGAAAAAAATCATTTATAAGAAAACACAGCCTTTGAGTAATATTAATGATTAAGTGTTCCGCAAATGAATGAATATTTACGCCTGTATTCTAAAAGCTCACTCACACTTAAACTCATTGAGTGGGAGATCTCAATCCTAATTCTTGTTACTTTTCGATGGCAGTATTTTCAGTCAAACAATAGCTTTGATTTTCAATGTTTTACTTTAAATCTGTTCATTGACTAAGAGAGAACTTCTCATTTCACAGAGTGTGAGTGTGAATAAACTTTTTGAAAACGGGCATTCGTCATAGCATTATGCGAACTTGATTCTAATCCTTTTGATGTAAATATGCCGCGCATGTCGCATTATACATGCGTTCCGCCATGTCGCCCTAGGAAAGGCTAATTGGCTAATTTTTGGCTAATTGACACGCTATGCGGGTGGCTCCGACTTCTCTGCCAGTTTTTGTTTATTTTTGCACAAAGCAACGGGAAACGATGAGCAATTCCTCTATTCATAAGTATGCAGCGAACAAATTTCGATCAATTTAGTAAAGCATTTTTGTTGCATTCAGTTTGAATCTCCATTCCAATTATAAAAGTATAGATAATTCTGATCTAACAATGAACTTTCGTCATCACCAGGTTGGTATGCAAGAAACAATACATTTATTCGAAGGAAAAGAAAATATCGTTAAAACGTTAAGTCAAAATCCTCCAATCTTTGGTAAGCAATATTATTGAAAACGCACTTTTACAAGATAATGCGTGTAGTGTTAGGAGAATTAATAGAACAATTAATTTGTAGAGTTTTAATCTACCAAAAAACACAATAAGATTAACACCTGTATTCTAAAAACTCACTCACACTCAAACTCTTGAGTGGAGGATCTCAATTTCTTTATAACAATTCCATGACGGCATTTCCACTCGAATAAGAGCTAGATCTTAAATCTTTCTATTGATTGACACTCAATGAGCCTGAGTGAGCTTTTTGACTACAAGCGTAAGTATAGTAATCAAACTGTACTGAAAAAAACGACCTGTTTACCGGAATCATATCCACAGGCCTAGATTATATCATGCCTGAAAAAGGAGTCACCCTCCATCGTAACGATGGCATCCCAAACTTATGATTTACTATTTAATTACTTACTACCATCTTCTTTTTGATGATCGCCCAGAGGTTCGAATTCTCTAAAGGATTAAGGTTCGGCTCGTTGGAGGCCACTGCATTGCTGAATGATATTCCTCTCTTGGCCAAAATTTGAGTAGTGGCATTTGGGGCATGCGACGGAGCATTGTCATTCATATTTAAATATTCAGTCTTAGACGATCGACTTGTTATGAACTTGCAATACGTTTCACGGGTCGGCTTCGCCCTATCATCCACTTTAAATGGCCAAATCATGATTCCAGCCGCCATCTGGCTATAGCGTCTTTTATTAACTTCATTCTTTCTGGATTTGGTGCCGAAAAATTCTGCATCTTTTCTCAAATTTTATATTCGAAAAAAATGCTTTATCAAATACTAAGTCAAGACATGCTTCATAATTCTTTAAGACTTTTTAGGACGTCTTGCTTCTCCGTTGCTGTCAAATCCTTGCACTTCCCCATGACACCAAGACACGTTATTTTAAAGCAAAACATCACCAGCAACTTCACTTAAGTCCTTATCTGCATACATGATTTAATCATTTTCAGGTTTGGATTGGTTCAGGATTTGAGAGTAAACTACCCAACATGCATATTTTAAAAAACTTTTGTTTAAGTTTTTTATCATTATAATTATAATTAAGGTAGTCCATTACAACAAAATTACGATCTATGCAGTTTTGAAAAAATTAAAGGATACAATCATAACAATTTCCTTAATCGATCCAGGATATTCTTTGCGATTTTTCTTTGCGAAATACAGGGTGTCCCAAAAAAAAACGAAAACTAGCTATTGAAATCACTCATTGTTAAAATTTGAATGCCGTGTTCACGAATTTCAGCCCGTGGGGATTTAATGCTATTTATAAAATGCTATGCTTTGTAATGCTAGAGAAAGGGGACATGTTGAAGGTAATGGTCCTTCAGATGCACATTTAGATATTGTAATCCATATTTGTAAATTGTAAATATTGTTAATAAATATCATTTTTGCGTACAAGCAAATTTTACTGCATCATATGCATGCATAAAAATGCGTATGGCAAACATTAATTTTATACACCTGTGGGTCCTAACAGAGTGCTTAGGCATTCAAACTCTAACAATTGCATTGTTATGGGTGATTATATTTTCAATGGTTTTCGTTTTTTTTTGAAACACCCTGTATAAAATGTACGCGAGAATTAAAAGGGAAGGATGTATTAATTAGGGTTTTATCCTGAGCAAACAAAGGAATCGATTGGCTTCTTCTATTGGGTCGTTGTTCTATTGTATTGTTCCGTACAATTTTTTCATACGTGTTGACAAATGTAGATTATTTGGCATCAAAAAAGTTATGAATGAATTTATTCATTAATAAATCATTATCTTACAATCTTTGTAATCAAACATCTTATCAATCAAACTTTGGAAAATCTTTGGAAATCAACTAGCACGGGCAGCAATCTTCAATCAGCTCTTATAAAATCTTGAAGAACCGAAGACAAACTACAGAATGAACTATAACATCCCCTTTTTAACGAACATTTATGTCCTTTCGTTCATGAGACTCATCAAACTTTCTAATGTTCAATCCGGCAAGGCTTCCAGAAATTATATATAATGCTACATGCTGTATGCTGTACGATAAATAACACTCTTCCGTAAAAATTTTCAAAGCGGAGCTTATCACCAAATTCAAAATGTACATTATAACGTAAATTTTGGACATAGGCATAAATCCGGGAATCACTATGTTTATCATATTGTTTCACCTGGAGACACAATTCTGTAGTAGAAAAACAGTCTTCACTCTCCATGATTTGCTGTAGGTATAGACTATAACGCCTGAATTCCACAAGCTCGTTCCCACTCGAACTCGTTGAGTTTAGGTTATCTGAAACACTGCCTTATCATTTCCATTTTCAAAGTGTCAACAGAAAAAGGTGGGAAACATCCGTGGAATAGGAATTAGTAGGTAGCACTTTCAACATGAAATGTCAAATTTGTTTAGTGATAACGTTTTTATATTTTTAGAAATTAAAGATTTCTTCACGAAAGACGAATGCGAACTTGTCATTGATTTGGCAAAGGCAAAAGGAATGAAAAAAATTCCACCGTTTAAAAATATTGAAAAGATGTTTAAGGATGAGATGCACGAGACTTTCAAGATGTGGAATTTAAATGGTGATGATTTTATTGATGCTTATGAGGTAAGTTGCTATTTATATAAAACGAAGAACAGTGAAACACGCACCGGCGCAACGAAACGCCAGGAGAACAAAAATCAGGAGTCAGGAACACGCACAACAGCAGAAACACGTTGACAGAAACTATATACGGACATACATTTGGAAGTAAAAATTAATTAAGTCTGCAATTTGTTGTGCACGCCCTTTTATAATGGAAGTTGAGGGAGTCTTGCACACTCCCTCTGCAAAGTGGGGTGATCCACAACTAACCAATCAACGTTTTAGGTTTCAAGTGTGGGTTAATGGCGTTAGAAGCTTGATCCAGCTCTCGTATTTTGTTGTTTTTAAGGCGTTATCAGACTGGTCGAGTTGGTCTTCTGCTTTTCGGTCAATATTTAAAAATGTTCACAACTTACAAAGTCTACAAAATGTATAATATACTTATACAGGGTGTATCAGAAAAAACTAGAAGATTTTAAAATGTCCAGAAAACTATCATTTTATCAAAATATCTCAAAAATATATTTAAGTCTAAGTATTTTAGCATCTCCTGGCTTATCTAACAGTAAAAACTATCAGAAAAATTAACCTAAAAAAGCGGGAGAACGGTTTGTAAAAGCCTCATTTTTAACCGCTTGCGCAAAGAAAATGAGATGTTCAAAATCCAAGTTCATTTAAAGAGATGAAAGTTTGGACTGTTTTGTGCAATGTATTAAAATTTCAGAAAATTTGATAAACATTAAGTCCGCCGTAAAACGTTTCAAAATTGGACTTTTTCCCGCTCGCGCGTAACTTTTTTCATGCAAGAATGATTACATGCATGAGTGATGGTTCGAATGACGTACTTACAATGCTATTGTCATACCTTACATGTTGTATCTAATAATGCTATTATTAAAAATAAACTACACAAAAACGTCAAACAGTACACAATTGCAAACAAGAGCAGAGTTTACAAAATTTGTTGTTAGTTCTCAACATGTCCTCCATTTCTTTGCACGCAAATTTCTGCCCTACTTATCATACTGAAAACAGCACGCCGAACCATTTGCCTGTCCTGCCTTAGGATATCCATCTCATTTTGAATTCTTGCTTCAAGTCTTCCAAGTTTGCCGGTGGTGTGACATAAACCTTCGACTTTAGGTAACCCCAAAGGAAAAAATCCAAAGGAGTCAAATCGGGAGATCGCGGTGGCCATTCTACCGCACGATTTAAAGCAATAAATCGGTTTCCAAATAATTGTTCCAAGCGCTCGGAAACAATGCATCTCCGATGAGGTGGTTCTCCGTCTTGTATCCACCAAAGGCGCTGGAACCTGCCATCATCGTTGGGAGCGAAACGGCGTATTTCGCTTACAGCTGGAACGACTTGCTCATTAATCATTTGTAGGTATTCTTCGCCGTCTAAGTTGTGGCGAAAGAAAAAAGGACCAATGACAGATCCATTACCAATCAATCCGACCCAAACAGTAACCTTGTGACGGTCATTATTTCGCTCATACTGAAAGTGCAACGGTCGTTCACCACGAGCGCAGTACTCTCTGATATTATGGGTGTTAACAGAGGCATTTAAGGCAAATCCAGCTTCGTCACCAATGAGTACGTCCTCAAGAAATCGTGCTGGTCTGTTTATAAGCCACTGGCAAAACCTTTCTCGCCGCTGGTAATCTCCTGCAAGCAGTTGATGTCGTCGTATCATCTGGTATGGGTGAAATCGTAAGTCCAGCCGTGTTATACGATTAAAGGTGGCCGAAGATAAGCCAAGACCATTTCGCCGAGCGCTAATTCTCGCTCCATTTGGCTGCTGATTTTCAATCGCATTTTGTACAGCTTCAATGTTTTCTTGAGACCTCGCAGTTCTTCGACGTCCTGATCTTCCCCGGTTGAGATTACAGCTTGTCCCGTTTGTACGATATTTAGCAACATTGTTGTAAACTGTACCATGTGATGGACAGCGTACGTCAGGATACTCCTCCCGAAACCTTTCGAGCACTCTTGTGACGCTCCCATGACTACGGTGGTATTCAGTTACCAAAAAAGCTCTTTGCTGTGGTGTAAACTGCAGCCTTGGCATTGTTTTTAATGTTTGATATGAAAAATAAGCTAGCAATTCATAAACAGGACATCTTTTGCATTATCCAGGTGTAATTAACAGAACTCTTAGAACAGGCTAATGATAACGACCATATGCACAAAGAACCCACCCCTCTTTCATATAAAAACAAAGGCAATACTCGAGCGATTAAAGATCAAAAGATGCAAATCAGGTCATATAGACAACAACAAAGCAAAGAATACACCCACTACCATCTGAACGAACAGCTACGTTCATATAAAGCGAAACACAGAGATATACATAAGAACACATATCCAAAAGAAACCAAAGTATCCAGTAACTATACTCAAACCAATCGGCCCCACATTTCTACAAAAAACCCAAAATCCCAAAAGTCCTCCTTTGGCTCGAGTAGACAGGACAACCGGCGGACTTTCCCACCAAAAGCCAACACTAATAACAGCGCTAACCGCCGGAAATCTGATCGCAGAAACAGGCCTCCTTTTCACCGGAGATTGACAAACCATACACCGGCCAAATATCGGACACGTGTAAACAGCCCACCACCATATCAGGTAAAACACCTAAGGAAGTTACCATCGTACCAATCACATTGCCTAAACAAACCACTTACCTACCAGTCATTGGGCCAGAACCAATTCCCGCCTTTCCATGTACACCACCCACAGCAGTCAACTCTGAGCCAACGTCCCCAATCACCCATTTACAAACAATACTTCCGCCAAGCCTACCAACCCATCAATCGTACTGTAGACCAGAATGGAACATGGGTCTAGATAACGATGCATGCCACGTCGATCCCTCACGAAATCCTGATAAAGTCTATCCGATACCTGTGAGGATTACGAATCACAATGTTAAATTAATTAACAAACGAAATACCAAGCAAAACAAGCTTTTACGAAATCCCAATATGATCGACATTCCTACCACTGAAGGCAGGTCTTGGAATGAACACTCGACCCTGAAAGACCTTAGTATAGAACGGGACACTCCGCAAAATTATAACATTTCAAAGTCCCCCCATTTCCGTCTGGTACACTTAAATATAAGGTCTCTACGAAATACCTCCCATTGGATCCAATTCGCCGAATTTGTTTCAAAGACAAGGATTGAGGCAATAACATTATCAGAGACTTGGTTAAACACAACCATACCAAATGCCGAGATCAACTTGGAGGGCTATAAAATTTACCGCCAAGACCGCCTCCACAAAAGAGGAGGAGGGGTAGCTGCGTACATTCGGAGTGATATTAAGGTCACCGTACTGAAGGAAATATCATCAGTTTCCACCGATTACTTCCAGCAGCTTTGGCTCAAACTTCAGACTAAAAAGTTAAGATCTATCCTGCTCTGTGTATCATATAGACCACCAGACTGCCCGCCGTCCTGCCTAGAAAACAACCTAAAAGCAAGTTATATGCAAGCCGCCATGCAGGACAAACCCATATTTATTTTGGGAGACCTCAATTGCAACACCATGAAGGTCACCGCTGAGACCACAGCATTGGAAAACTTCATGTACGAGATGAACTTAAAGCAATTGATCACTTCACCAACCAGGATCACAAACACTTGTGAATCACTAATCGACGTAATCATAACTTCATCACCCAACCTTGTCCATCAAAGTGGTGTTATGGACACACTCATAAGCGACCACCTACCAGTATACACCGCGTTAAACATGAAACTTCCTAAGCCATCAGTACAGAGCATCCTGACGCGAAGCTATAAAAGCTATGATAGTTCAAAGTTCATTACCCATCTTGGTACAAGATCACAAGAACTCATTTCTATCTTTTTCGATTCCAATGTCAATTCAAAACTCAGAAAACTTAATGATGTCCTCTCTACTACTTTGGCTGTCCATGCTCCAATTAAAGAGGTCAAGATTCGACGTCGATCCTGTCCATTTGTTACTGCTGACATCAAAAAACAAATGATCTACAGAGACCAGCTACATCGTCGATACAAACAGACACGAGAAATGGAGGACTGGAAGAACTTTAAAACAGTCCAAAAATCAATCAAATCCACCTTAAAAGTCGCAGAGAAAGACTACGTCCGCACTGAAGTTAATACACATAAAGACAAACCTGGGTCACTTTGGAAAGTAATTCATAGCCGCATTCCGTCTAGAGACAAAACAACCCCAATATACAGCAAAAACCAGGAAGAGGTTGCCAACGATTTTAACAGTTTTTTCCAGTCAGTAGGGATAACAGCCGCCGAAACAGCTACGCAACTGGCCTTAGATAATAACATCAATATATCTTCCATGTCTGCCTGTGAAATCAAGAACCTACAATGTCCGATCGAAGAGTCATTCCACTTCATACCTGTTACCTGTGCGGAAATTGAACGCATACTAACATCTATGCCATCAAATAAATCACCAGGTCCCGACAAAATCAGTATGAGAACTATTAAAGACTGCCTCCAAGTAATCTTAGGCCCCCTGACGGATATCATCAACAGTTCATTTACAACTAATACGTTTCCAGAAGCCTGGAAAATAGCAGAAATCATACCAATATTAAAAGAAGGGGATCACGAAATAGCCTCCAACAACCGTCCCCTCTCAATGCTCAATGTAATCTCGAAGGTATGTGAGAAAGCGGCCTTAAATCAATTCACGAGTTTTTTAAACCGGACCGGCCACCTTACGGCACACCAGAGTGGAAACAGAAAGTACCATTCAACGGAAACCCTCAATATATTAGTAAACGATTTTTTCCTGAACGCAATGGATAACAAAGAGCTATCTGCCCTTATTCTGTTAGATCTGTCCAAAGCCTTCGATAGCATCGACCACACAATATTGCTTCAAAAACTAAGCAATATTGGAGTATCTCGTAAGGCTCTAAATTGGTTTAGAAGCTACCTTTCAGACAGAAAGCAATACGTACGCATTGGCTCTTCAGTATCAGAAACTCTTTCAATCACTCATGGCGTCCCACAAGGGGCAATATTGTCACCTCTGTTATTTTGCATCTATATAAACGACCTTCCAACAGCACCAAAAACAGCTAAGTTAGAATCATTTGTGGATGATTCGAAAATATTCATGTCCTTTCCAATCACGAATATAATCGATGCAAAAAGTAACATAGAAGAGGATCTTAAGAGGATTGCAACATGGTGTTTCACAAATAAGCTGTTAATTAACCCTGAAAAGACAAAATTAATGCTAATAGGCACTCGACAGTTAATCGGAAACCTTACTGAAGGACTGGTTATCTCGTTCCTAGGAAAAGAGATCACACCTTCCTCTTACGCCAAAGACCTAGGGCTATTCATGGACAGTTATTTAAGTTATGATCATCATATACGACACGTCATATCATCTTCAATGGCAAAACTGTACCAAATAAATAGAGTAAAGGACAGCTTCGATAGCGAAACCCTCCACACGATTGTCAATGCCCTAGTGATGAGCAGATTGTATTACTGCTCTACGGTGTGGTCGAATACATCGGCAACAAACATAAAAAAACTCGAAAAAGTACAAAATTTTGCTTGTAGGATTATAACAAATACAAGGAAATACGACCACATAACACCAGTACTACAGGCGATCGGTTGGCTCCCAGTCAAGGAACATTTACAGTACAGAGATACACTAATGGCTTATAAATGCATGAACGAACTTGCACCGCCGTACTTATGTGACCAGTTTTTAAAACGAAATGCAGTTCATAACAAGAACACCCGGAATAAAGACGACCTTGACATTCCCCCATGCAAAACAACATCAGGTCAAAGAAGTTTTTGCTATAGAGCAATAAAAATCTGGAACATTTTAGATAAAGATTTTAAAAAACTACCCTTTAAAACATTTAAGAAGCACTTAAAGAAAAATATGTTAACAAATAACGTTAACGGAAACCTATCTTAGTTAAAGTATTAAAATCTTAGTATAACTATACAACTAGGATTTCTCTTAATTGTAAATATATTTTATAAACATAGCATAGTCAATAACGTAATTGTAGATAGAAATATACCTATTTTTAGCCTTGTTAGTACATACTGAAAAGCCCTATTGGGAGTATGTTTTATGTATAATAATAATAAATATAATAATAATAATAATAAAATAAAACAATGAAACAAGAGTATTCATTGTTAGTTATGTCTTAATTACGTCATTCGAACCATCACTCGTGCATGTAATCATTCTTGCATAAAAATTCTTACGCGAGAGCGGAGTAAACGGAAAAAGTCCAATTTTGAAACGTTTCACGGCGGACTTAATGTTAATCAAATTTTCTGAAATTTTGATACATTGCACAAAAGGGTCCAAACTTTCAACTCTTTAAATGAACTTGGATTTTGAACATCTCATTTTCTTTGCACAAGCGGTTAAAAATGAGGCTTTTACAAACCGTTCTCCCGCTTTTCGAGGTTAATTTTTCTGCTAGTTTTTACTGTTAGATAAGCCAGGAGATGCTAAAATACTTAGACATAAATATATTTTTGAGATATTTTGATAAAATGATAGTTTTCTGGACATTTTAAAATCTTCTAGTTTTTTCTGATACACCCTGTATAGTAAAATATTCAAACAGTAACTGTGTGAATCTAAACTACAAACTAAACTAACTTCACTAATAAATTTATCGAAGGCTTTTTGTGACCTACAGGTGGATTTCCACTTACAGAAAAATAGTTCGCGAGCGAAATTTTTAAATATTTTCTTTTTGAATTTTAACAGAAGAGCGAACATTAGCCCAGAAGAAAATATGCAAATATTTCGCTAGCGAGCTATTTCTCCGTCATTAATGCTTAGAATGCTCGACCGCGCGAAATATATTTGAATCATTGACACAAGATCATTCATCATACTGGTGAGCTTAAGCTTAAGTAGATTCAACCTATTGTAATAGGTTATCCTGGTTATCTCAACATTGCAAGCCAAATGCACGAGATTAGTTATCTATAAAAATGACAGTTTTTGTCTAGATAGTCATTTAAAGTTTTATCACCTACCACGGAATGTCATGCATGAAAGGAAATCTCAAGTAATTAACGCTTACGAGTGGTCAAAAATTATGTCTACTCAGGCGTGTTGCAGCAAGGATTAATCACTTGCCCCATGTTGTGCTAAACGATATTACATTCCTAATCCTATTTATGATTTTAACTTTTCTATTTTTATTTATTATCATTACTATAATGATAATTATAACACAATTAAGTGTTGCGTAACAATATATATATATATAACTGTAGCTTTATTTGAACAGTTTCGCGCCTTTTTCTGTATCACATAGTGCCAATAACCTACGTTTTTGAAAAAATTGTAAAAACCGCTGCATGTTCCAAATCATTTCCCCGGCTGTGAATTCGTGACAAATAGGATAACTCGCCATATATAGACACATCACCAACCATTCATTCGCCATTTTCCCGTCCTTTTCCACGTGCACGTCCTCGCGTTAAATCTCCGGCTTTAATAGGTATATCGTACGCCAGTGACCTTGTGAATATGTGGTCTTTTATATAATACAGGTTAATTTATTCATATCATGCAGTAAACAGGGGTTTCATACATATTCTACATATTATAGGTATCATATGTATACGGAAAAGCAGGCATATTTGTGAACGACAAGGATATTTATGACATGTAAGTAGATTTTTGTATATCCCTGGAATATGATTTCTCATACATTTATATGGTGAATAAGGAGAGAATTTGGTTCCCCTTCATGTGCGATTGGATTTAAAAGTTGACCAAATTTGAGTCTTTATTATATTCATTTTCAAATCAATGGTGTTTCTTGCAATCTGATTGGTCAAAAATAGTGTGATTAATTCCCAAATCGCACTATTTGCGATTTTGTAATCACGCGTTTGATTTCACACCAAATTGCACTCTACTTAGTGCAATTACCATTATTAATAGTATAGTACTGTATATGTATGATAGGGTATGTGTCTACAAATTAAGTTGAATTAAGAAAAAATCACGAATAACAGAAGAAACAGCCGAATTTTTTTTAATTTTTCAAGTCGGGTATCAGAATTTTTGGCTCATAACAATTCAGTGACCAATTGTTTGAAGATTACTTACATTCCTCGACACGCCATAATGAAGCGACATTTGAACAGATATGCAGCTGATATATCAGTTAATTCAAAATCATAAACAAAGCATTTCTTTATGTTAAATCACATCGCTTGTTTGTTTTGTTGTTACATTGGGATATTTAGACCAGCCGTGTTTGCACTAGAGACTGAAATTTACCTGGAACTACAGTAAGCTGTGCCTCAGAGGTATACCTATCTGGGACCTGACATTATGTGCTCACCGTAGATACCTGAGATCAATTGAGATGGACAATTATATGTACCCAAAATTAAGTCGCCTTTCTCAAAATTTAGCTAATATATGCCATTACCAGCGCCTGATCTGTTGATTTTGTCCTTGTGTTTCCTGTACACCACCGTATGATTTCGTACACTACGAGCGGCCATCATAAACAACTATTTCCTGCAAATGTTAATGAATTTTTAATTCTCCCACTACTTTCTCGCACATGCGCTAAAAATTCAAAACTGCTGCGCACTGTTGTCACGGAGACTCGCCATGACACGGCCTGGATGAGCGAAAATATGTTTAAACCAGCTTGACTCGAAATCTATTTATGACTGAACTGAGACCATGTTTTCTAGCCACCTCCAAAGAATGTCTCCGTCTGATTACTTCATACGAAAAAACCTTAGGAATGCATGCATTGTTTGAACGCGACCAACTCACATTTCGACCAAAACTATACTCTTAAGGGGCATAATTTCGTCATGCCATCTTGGTAAGCAATGCTTATATATTAATTTTTCTCCACCTTTATGGTATTGAGCACTCTCTGTATTTCATGATAATTATATAGGTAATAGTAACACACGTACCTGCGTTCTAAAATGCTCACTTTCGAGGTCTAAACAATCAAATTTCAAATATTTGCGACCCCCGCCTCAATCCTAAACATCTTCTCACGTCTTGCGTTCCAATGCGATTGCGAGAGAAGCGCCGTGTTACAGTTGATAATTTGTATCGTAAAAGTTCCTCGACTGCCCTTTAGGGGCGTACATTAACAAAAATAATGGGGGGGGGTGTTCTGGGACCAACTTTTGTATAGCGTTCGTGCTCAATCAAATTGATTGTTGTAACGGCGGATCCAGCCGATATCCGACCGTGCCTGTGATTCAACCGCAATATAGGGGGGTCCAGGGGAAGTTTTTGAAATTTGAAGCCCGCTAATGGCACTTCTTGCGTTCTCAGCAACGAATATTACTTTAAAAATGCCTTTGAGGCACTCGAAATTATAGAAAATTATACGAAAAATACATAAAATCGACAATTACCATTCAAAATTAAATACTACGTTCGATATGTACCCGTTGACCACTACTAATAAATGTTAATCAACCTTTTGAGATAATTATTTACATACAAGACGAACGATTAACCAATTTATATAAAGTCAGATTGCATGATTATCACTGACAAGATACATTTACTAGTATGAAATCTCGTTCGAGATGTCTTCTTGCGAATTAAAAGGCTCGAAGATTCGAACGGAGCGCCAGTGCATGTAGTGAAAGTTCGCCCAAGTCGCTATGTCGACAAGGCAAACAACCCCTCTTGGGTAATCTGATCGCATTACCTTAGCGGAGAATGAATCAATGAGATGTTGCATGCGGAAGTGGATAAAACTGTGGTTGTGGCGTGTGACAGCATAGACAATCCAGAAGACAGGGATGGAAACGCAAGCTAAAGTACTTATAATGCTGACGCGCCATCCGTGATATGGCTTTATCACGTCAATTTTTAAGTTGCTACGCAACCGGGTTCTTTATTCAGAAAAAATAATGCAAAGTAGATCCAGCAAAAGTTTGAATATTTTGAAGAATTTTTTAAATATAAATATTATATTTCTACCTGACCTTCAAGTCAGATATATTTTCAAGGTAAGTGCGTTTTCATTTTTCATTTTGAGTGTAAACAGTGCTCATAGTTCCAGTTCCAGAAGTGTTTGCATCAAAAATATACGCACGTAAAAATTAGGTAGTTTTTTGGGACCCTGTAACATGAAATCAAAGCTTTGACAACATACAAATAGCATCTTATATTACAAAAGAATGCATTAGGATAGCGACTGCAACTTGTAATTACATGCAGACTAGTGTGTGAGCCCGACAGTAAGAATCTTTTTCAGTCTCAACCACAAAAGGACCGCCATGTAACTACAATTTTGATAAATTGACTAATTGAGAAACTTTGTCTTACATTGTGTAAACAAAATAATACAGGGTATGCATCTATTACCTTTTTCAGCCTCTTTTTGCGCTTGAAAAGCTAAGAATCGCCAGTAGCTGCATGGATTGTGTCGTGTTTAGATGTTAAAATGTCACTTTTCTTGTTCTCGTAGAATATGTACCTAGTTGGGACCCTATAAAATCACCTCGACCCAGTTTCAGAGGGTCATTTTTATATATTTGACACAATAAATCAACTAACTGTGCGCTAATCGCATTTTCCAACATCGTCTTATTTTAAAAAAGTGAAATTATCATAAAAACTGCGTAAGTTGTATGTTTTGCTAAACCGAGTGTCGCCATTGTTTTCCCAAAATATGTGCCTGTTAAGTTTACTTTAGGCACGTTTTAGAGTCCCATTTGAAGATAGTTTAAACAAAAAACAATAAACTGTTAACTTATGGTTTTTACCAACATATTCTTTTTGTCATTGACTTTTTGCTGAGAAGTGTCTACATTGTTGTTCTCAAAAATGGAGTTCTACATGAGCCCGCAAAATATGCCGGCCGTATCATGGAGAGCGCACGCGAAAACAATGGCGTTTCCAGGCACTGTCTTCTGGATTGTCTATGGTGACAGCAAAGCGATCGAAACTTGACACCTCGCATACATACGCATTTTTACTTACGCAGTGAAATCTCAATTTTCGATTGCAATTTTCTTCCCTTTTTCGACAAGAATGACGGTATCTTTGAGATCGTAAATTATTCCTAATGGACCGACTTTTCCTGTACTCATACACATTTTGGGACTGACTTTTTAGACTTACTTCACAAAGATAGGGTCACACACCCCACACACCCCCCTTAATGTGCGCCCCTGGTGCTCTTAATGACACGTAAATTTTACAAATTATGATATCTAAAACCATTAATTTACCGAGTAACTCATTAGCTTTGTTCGTATACAGGGTGTATAAAAAAATTATTAAACTTTGATGCGCTATTGTACAGGGTGTGTAAAAAAACTGCAAATACCATAATTTGTATCCATAACCCAAGGGTAAGCAAAACACAATGGTTAGGGAGTTAATTCACTTTGTGTGCTTGTTTTGATAACCCTGCATAAGTGCATACAAATTATGGTATTTGCAGTTTTTTTCGCAAACCCTCTACTTGAAATACTCATTCTATTTGAGAGGTGAAAATATACGATTTTAACTAACACTTTTTATCAGTCTCCTATTTGTTCATTTTTTTTACCATTTGGTATGAAAAACATGTTATTCGAAATAGTTAAAGGCCTAACCTTTCCGAATGTGAAAAAAGTTCGTTAATTGAAAAATTTTGCTTCTGAATGAACTACCCGCATATGCTTATTTAGTATACTAAGTAGGAATAAATCACATCAGGTGAACATTCCAAGCAATGCGGCAGCGATTTCAACTTTGTATCGATAGAGATAGTGGTCAATTTGAAGGCATCGGCGCATAATCTCTTTTTAAAAAGTGTAAATGTAAATAATTGCAATAAACAAGTTGTAAAACCAGTGCACACTGTGACATGTTCGTGATTAATTGTTTTTTTTCTTTTTGTTATGCACTGCTTTAATTAGGCTCAAAGGTGAAAATATGAGATTGTGACTAACATTTTTTTATTAGCCTCGTATAAACCAATTGCGAAATTTAGCAACCGCGCCTTCGCGCAACATGGAAACGAGGCTTATTATGCAAAAAACAATATTTGTTTTTTTTCGGAGTACAAAGCTATTCGCCGTTTTATATCCCGGTTTTCCCTATTGGTTCACATATTTTTCGATGCCTTTAAGCTTAGCTTCATCGTTGTTATCATAGTTTTCAGGTGAGAGAGTTTTGCCTTTCATTTGAGGCGTTTTTGTGATGTTTTCATTAATCTTTTCCGCTGCTTTTGTCTGGGAAATATTTAAAAGGCCGACACAAACTCAGGTAAAAATTTAGTTTTTTGCAAACTATCTCGTCTCAAGTTTTTGAAAATTTATTTTATTTTTCTTCATCTTATTTGGGCAAAATTTGGCGATAAATCTTTGGCCCCAAATCTATGTTTTTGTATTAGAAGTATTGAAAAGTCACGTCGAAGAACCACCATGTTCACATTTCTCATTTAAATTGTTTTATACCAATTTTATCGATTGATAAGCTGTAATTTTACAGCAATTTTACAGCTCAGGAAAAAAATCTGTTGACAGAAACTATAAGAGATCTTTTTCCCAAAATATTATACTACAGCAGCCCCGTTTTTTTAAGATATACCTTTACATGATGGCAAAGCGGAAGGCGAAAAAAATATTTGCGATGGTGAACGAAATCCTTTCCTTTTTAAGTATTTCTGGTTAACCCTTATTAAACATCCATTGCATGGTAGTAGATATAGAAAGAATAGTGTTTTGAAGGGACACAAAATATAGAGAACGTCAGGTGCATTCGAATTCGACTTTTAAATTAAATTCGGCCTTCAGGTGGGCATGCAAGCCATGCATCGTGTGTACTTTATTAAAACGAAATATTTCAGTCAGTTATTTTTTACCATTTTAACAGTATTACTGTGGTATAAAGATAAAAAATTCAGTGATATTTGTGAATAAATTTGAATCGATTTCAAAACCACTTCAGTTATCAGGTGTGAAAATTATATAATCCGACTGTTATATAATCCGATTGTTGTTCAATAAAATTATATAATCCGATTGTTGTTCAATAATTTTTGTCACGAAAACATAAATTTTGCACCAAATATATATCGCCAAATTTTGTACAAATAATTGGAAGAAAAATGAAATAAGAGACGAAAACGAAATAGTTTGGAAAAAATTAAATTTTTAGTTAAGTTTGTGTCGGCCTTTTCCATATTTCTCCGACGGAAGCAGCAGAAAAGATTAATGAAAACACCACAAAAACACCTCAATTGAAAGTCAAGACTTCCTAACCTGAAAACCATGATAACAACGATGAAACCAAGCTTAAAGGTATCGAAAAATATGTAAACCAAAGGCAAAAACGGGGATATAAAACGGCGAATTGCTTTGTACTGCAAAAATACAAATAATGTTTTTTGCATAATAAGCCTCGTTTCCATGTTGCGCGAAGGCGCGGTTACTAAGCTTCGCAATTAGTCTATGTGCTCATTTCTTCACCATTTGATATTAAAAGCATGTCATCCGATAGTTAAAAGCTTGATCTTTCTGAATGTGAAAAAAATTCGTTCATAGACTGGGTAGTTCACGTACAATAGCGTGTTAAAGTTTGATCACCTTTTTTATACACCCTGTATTTTTAGCATCCTCGATAAATTCTAAATTGGAACGCGATCAGTACGGCCCTGATTGCACAATGTAACACGACTCCTGATGCTTTAGATAGTATATATAAGTTTCTTTAATTAATTTTTTTTATCTATAGGTACATATATTACGGTTTTCGTTGACTAAATTTCACAACTTTAGATTAAAAACAATTTCTTGGCAAAAACGTCAGGAAGACCAAAATCTCCATAATTATGTAGTCTCCTTGCTTTAGGTTTAAAGATTGCAAAATAGACAATGACGACAATGGTAAGATTGTAAATCGAGTGTGAGGGCATTCCACAGTGGCATAATGTTGAGTGAAAGGGTTTCAAGCGCTAGGCACGGGGAGTATTAATGATTGCAAACTTTCATGGAATTCGATTAGGAGAAACTTGTACGTGAGTTATAGTTAGTCCGCCTTTTCAATCCATTGCAAATTACCACAAGTTCACAGAGGGTTCCACTGATATGTTGACGTCGACGTACAAAAGCTCCTCTTATAACGAAATTTTTATGTCGCCCGCTCGTCCCCCTAGAGAGTGAAATAACGTGTTATCCCATGAGAAATAACAACTTTAATCACGTGCGGCGCACCTCTACGATCGACCTAAAAGCCTGTTTATCCACTTGAAATGACTTTTATGAATAGATATTTCGTTGTCTACCTTGTAGTTTGTTTTTTTTTTGACAAATAGTATACAGGGTGAGTAAAAAACATTGAAACCTTCGAAAATCAAATTAACTGTAATGTGACAGAAGTTACCTAAAATATCTCATTGGTATACAAAGCATATCAAATAAGTGAACCCATCAATTAAAACACAAGGTTTGTGATCCCTAAAACATAAAGTTTGTTCCCTTTGGGAGTTAAAATGCATTCTAAGCTCTGTTTTTTTGGTCCACTCGCCACGTTGAATTAGTTTAATTGGTTTGAAACTTTTGCATTAATTAACCACTTCCTGTTGATTGTATTCATGGGAATTGTCAAATTCCAGCCATAATTAAGTTCGCAGCTAATTTGAGTTTCAAAGGTGTTAGTTTTTTTACCCACCCTGTACAATAAAAAAAATATTTACCGAGAACTCAGAAAACATGTTTTATGGACCGGAGACCTGTCCAGTTTTCACGAGACGTATGTTTCCTTCGCTCGCAGTAAATAAGTGTTAACTATATAATGGAGTAGTGAAATCAAAGAGTTTTACGTAGGTGACATCCTTACCTATACGTTGTGACAATTAAGTGCTCGCCATTATCAAATGAAGCTAAAAACATGCCGGATTTTGAGCTTTGCTGACGCCACATGGTCCTAAATGGCCTGGCCCGCTGACATACCGCGATCCAAAGACAAAAATTGAGTAAAATTGTTTTTAAGCGAAGATAAATTAAGCGAACATGAGGTTTTTTGATCTACTTGTGATGTGTTAAATGTTTCATGGGAAGAGAATCAGGTAATCTTTTTTGATTATTATCGTTTTTTTACAGCTGCACTTTAGTACATAACTAATATAAGACTCAAAATTAAAGCTATGAAAAGCAAAAGTGTTTGCCAACAACGTATTTTGATTTCATTATAATTATTAATTCAATTAAAGTTATATTACTATGTTACAGTGAACTAGTTTTATATGTCAGCCTTTTTGGTAAATTTTCATAATGCAATTCTTTCAAATAGCCTAAATTAGAAGATTTATCATATTTTAATTGTTATAATTCCTGCACGTTTTATTCTTTTTGTAACTATCAAAAAAGGTGGTCTAAATTGAATACAGCAAGACTTATCATATTCCTCTTATTTTGCAGGAATATGCCAATTGGAAAAAAGCAAGAGATGGCTTGCATCATTTCGTTCCTTTGTTCGGAAATATTGAATTAAAGCAAAATGCAATGTATCATACACATGAGCGACTGATTGATTATCGATTATGCCATATTGACTTGATTTTAACCTTTTCCCTTACAGTTTAATAAAGGAATACAAACATTGACTAAGCATTGTGTCTCAAATCGATAAAAAACTTTCTTAATTTCCTAAACCATTCTCCAAGAGGATTAGTTAATGGGGGATAATTCACGATTTATAATCAATAAATTAGCATTGTGAAAGTTTTTTTGAAACATGAAATCATTGTAACTGCAGTAAAAAACATACACCAGTTGGTGAGATAACAGCTATAATTTCTGAAATACAATTCTCAGAATATACTAAACATTTTCATAATGGACAATATCACAAGCATTATACTGTATGAAGGTGGTCAGGAATGCTAAATGAGCAATCCTATAAAACAAATACGACTTAGCTGAATTGTATTTTCTGCACATAAAATGTTGATAAATGCATTGACTTTAGAAAATTTCAATTTATCTCTATAAAAGAGGCAAACAATTTCTGGCATATAAAAAGTTACGAAATTCTTAGACATTTCCTCTAGAAGTTTAAAAATCAGTTAGATTTCATGCGGATTGTAAAATAACAGCCTATATAAAATTTGGAAAAAAAAGTAATAGATAATATTTACAATTCTAAATAAAAGTTATTTACAATATGTTGATAAAATTGATGAAAAATTGATGAATGAATCAATGAAACTCGGAAAATATTTTTTGAACTTACAATACTTATTTGTCCTGGTATTGGTAAAAAAAACGTATACGGCTTGTATATATTTTGAAATAATGGTTTTTGTGTTATAGTTAATTAAAAAATCGAAAATTTCGAAAACAACGAGGTTTCGCACAAAACAAAAATTTCCCAAAAGCCAGGAGGAAAGATTTCGAAGCGTGCTCAGATTTAAGCCTGATCTGTGGTAACTGCCATTCCAATTTAGGACCACGTGACGTCAGCAAAGCTTCTGCGCATTGCGCAGAAGGCGAAGTCCACCATGTTTTCGGCTTCAAAAAGATGGCGGTGAAGTTACTGAAATTCGAGGAGCACTCCCTGCTGGGATTATAGTATAGCTCAATGGTAATATTGCACTCTATCGGACGTGTTTCCCAAATATTGTTGACGCAGTCGCTAATTAATTTGTATTTGGTTATAAAAAACCTCGATAATGATAGCCATGTTAGTCAAACTGTTGCTCAAAAATGATTTATAATTAATGTTCTTAACTCCTGTAGGAAAGCTTGATAAAAACGAATTCGGCGATATGGACAAAGAACGTACCGCAAAATGGCTCGAGAAACACATAGCTGATTCCGAGATATCTAAACCAGACAACGTATTTATGCAACAAACATGGCTCTGGCACAATGAAGACGAATTACTTGCATATGAAGACCTGTTTGAGAACTATCACGAAAGGTAAAATAACTTTGGGATCAAAATATTCTTAAATAATTTGCTCTAAATGTACACGCACCGATTACAACTATAGCGATTTGCAATCGATTCGCAATTTATTATTCAAGATCTTAAAAACTAAATGAAAGAGAGAGACCGATTACACCAGAGATTTATTCTTACGCCTGACATTAAGGATTGGGATTATCAAAAATGCTTTTAGGAAAGCAGTGCAAGCATGGCCAGAAAATTCGGACATAGTTAACATTCTACTTCCGCCTAAATTTGCATATGGTGTCAAAATAAAGCTTCGTGAGTTTATAGTAAACTGTAATGTGCACAGTACTAAACGCTAAAAATACACCTTTAAATAGGTCGATTATAATTTGCCTTAATTCCTCGTTGCAGAGCAAGTTAATCTTAATATTTTTATATAGTATTTCAAAATGTTTTATCAGTATTCGTCCTGCATTTTCAAAACAAAGTTTTGGTCATTTATCACGTTGAATACCATATAAAACGAAAACCGTAATAGCGTACAAATAAAATAAAAATGCAGAGTTGAGAAATTTAACTGAGAATGCGCAATATGATTTATAGCTCTGCAAACGAATAATGTTTGAACAGATATGCAAATTTGTTACGCAATCTGCATATTCCATGTCCGCAATTTCTGGCCATGAATATAACTCTAACGAAATACAGAAACACAAAGATAACCCGAGGTCTATTTGGGAAATAATAAATCGTCTTGTACCATCTAAGAGACAAGAGAGCCAAATCTATACTAAAGACCATGAACTTGTGGCAAAAAATTTTTTTCAACAGTAGGTGAAAATGCAGCAAAGAAATCTATCCACTTGAGCTATACTCATAACATTTCCCCGCGAGAATCGTATGAAGAAGTCTATACAATATTTTCTACTGCATTGTTTTTTCACAAAATTGCACCGTCGTTTTGAATGCGAGAAATTGTTTTTGTACATGCATTGTTTTACATGAAATTGCTAAAAGACTGAAAAAAAATAAATATAACTTGAAGGCCATCGTGCTTTGTTAACTATCGAAACGTCGACGTTTAATAAAATGTAGCGGCCAAAATATATCTTCTTTTGCATTGTATAGAGTTGCAAAAGTTTCAATGTTACCAAAAAAGATAGTAGAAAATAGTGAGCCCATTCAGGTAATTTGTGTCCTTTAGTTATATCACGTGCATATGTATATAATTTATATATATTTTGAAACAAAAATTATGATTGGAAAAGTTAGTAACATATTTTTTGTTGGATACAAGTTTTGTCAAATTCAAAACCAAATTCAAAACTGAAAATCGACATATAGAGTCGTGTCTTCGCATTGCAAACTGTAGTTCAAAATGCCACAAAGACGCTTCAAAAGCACGCATTAATCATAATAACTCTGGAGTTAGAATCAATATATTTTTCAAATTTTCAAATTCAATTTTAGGTAGTAAAGTATGAAACTGGAGCGCACTATGATTGCCATCATGATACGCAAAGTCTATCAAATGAGCTACCATGTTGTCAGTATGGCTCATCAAATTGTAGACTTTGCAGGTAAGGTATTCATCATTTTGATGTGTCAGCTAGTTCCTTTTACTTTTGTAAAGACGATCGAAAGAAGGTTTAGTTCCGGCTAAATCTTTTCACCGTCTAAATCGTATCACATGTGGCGTAACACATGATTTAGATATCCAAACCTGCATGCTTTGAGCAAATAACTACGACAGGTTTGTTGTCTTGAGACAGTATCGATTCTGTTTTTCAGTTTCTTTTCCGTCATGCGTGCATGCAATGTCAAACACGTAAAACACGTTTTAGAGTCCAATATTCTATTTGGCTCAAAACTGTGCATTTTTTAAAATCTATTGCTAAATTCCGGAGTTTACGCCTTAAAAGAAATGCATAAGTATTTACCTTTATGTTAAAATGTCCATGAAACATCAAAAAATGTCCTTGAAATATCCAGGCCAAAATGGCCTTGAAATTCCAAGACATGAAATGTTCTTGAAATATCCAAGACATAAAATGTCCTTATAATATCCAGGAGATTATTTTAAGAAAATATTTGATGAATTTATCCTCAGAATTTTTTTAAAAACCGATGTATGAATAATACTCTTGTTCTTGAAGACTCTAAAGTTCGGAAAAAAACCGGGAAGCATTGTTTATTCGAACTTCGCGCTTTCGTACCACATACGTGACATATTTGGCTACTTTAGAAAACTTTATAAACAAGCAGCGACTGAGTTAAGATTAAGCTATTTGCGTTTTTAACAGTGGTTGTCAGGTGTGATTATAAGTGAAACCTTTGACATGTAAATTTTATATGAAGTATAGCTTCATGTGAAATATTTTGACATGTGAAATTTCGCATTTAATTTCATGTAAAATCCTTTCACATGTGAGATCTCATATGTGACTCTATGTGAAATCCTTTCACATGTGACTATGTGAAATCCTTTCACATGTGAAATGTGATTTCATGTGAATTTTGAATTTCACATAATATCAAATGATTTTACATTAATTTTTTTTAATAAGCGTCTTCATAACGGTCGAGGAGATATATATGCTCATGATGCTAAATGCACATGCATTTCAGTTCTAGCCCTAACCTATATACACGAAAAAGAAGACATATGCAGTTGGGATTAAACACAGAACTATGTAATCACTATAACATACAAGACGAATACTCATGATCCGTTGAAAATTATAATGAAAATAATGTTTTTACAAGCCATTGACTACAACTGTCTTGATTAATTAAGAAACACAGTCCAATTTGTATTTACTGTATTTTCCCTGATCATAGTTTAATTCCCCTGATGCAAGTACTAACAAACGCACCAACTCTTGTCTTGTATATTAACCAAGATATGAAGCTAAATCATGGTTAAATTACAGTTAGAACAATAACACATTTCAACAAATAACACCGGGCTGCCGAAAACCGTCGATGCACGACTCTCGACGAGACAACGAAAGGTGTTTATTTTACAGTTGAATTAATTGACCATCTCAGTAGCTAAGCCCATGGAAATGCACAAACTGTAATCGGAACTCTATAGTTTTGATGATGACTAAAGGATTTCCAATAGTACAAGTTGTAACGCGTAGCTATATATTTTCTTCTTCCATAGATGCATGTAATAACTACACTATCTCAAATCGAAATTACATAAAATTGCTTATTCTATAGCGATAAGTATATAAAATAACACATCTGATGAATTAAGTAGCTCCAAGAAAAGGTACTCATGCAGCTTATATAATTGACTTATGAATGATGCGTGTTTTCCTTTTCGCTGTTGTATTATCTGCCATTGTTGTGCGCATCATTGTTAAACGTAGATAATAGATTGTTCATTCGTATGGCCAAAGACCGTGTGATGATAACGTTTCAATTTTAGGCCAAACTTCAAAGGCTGCTTGACTGCATCACTATTGATATCCAAGTCCAAACAGCTTTGTGATATGCAACACTCTTACACTTTGACTTGTTTTGAATTCATTGTCTTCAAAAATTAGCACTCCGTGCGGCTTGTACGGCGCTTGGTTTAATTAATGCAGTCATGGGTGATCTCAATACTCCACGGTTGAGTCAGTCATTATGCTGACAGAGTATAACGCTTCACGAAATTCGGCGGGCGCATCTACCACCTTAAAATATCACAGAAAATTTGAAGGTGGATGAAAATATTGAAACTATCTTTACAATCTTTACAATGTTGAAACTAATGTTCATTAATAAAGTCCATGTTAAGGATCTTCTTCTTGCCTTGTAATCTTCGCTATGTTTTGTCTTCTTCTTCGTTAGTTGTGTCTTTATTATTGTTATAGGCTTTATTAAAGAGGGTAACATTTTACAGTGGTAAAAATACACTGAGAACTTCATGGCCCTCACCTATACTAAACTAAGCTAAAATTGTTACTATTTACAATTTAATAATTAAAAATTACACATTCAAGATCATGGTGGATTTCTGATCATTTTAATATGTTTTGCATAAATTGTACTTGAAACTAGCTACTGAGTTTCTCTTCCTAATACCTAAATCGATACTGTTCCATTCTATCCGTAAAAGTGCGTTCTAGCCGTAAAAGTGCGTCCTCCTTCAGTCTTCCTAGTGTATTTTGGACACATAAAGTTGGAACTTGAGTAACGAGTTTCTTTCTTGTGGATGCCTGAATTTTGTCTTAAAAACTTTTCAATATAACTAGGGTACTAAAACTTGTATTTATACGCTTATAAACTAGCGTATTCCTTTTAATTTGAGATTGCTTTGTAAATGGAAGCCAATTTAAGTCATTAAATATAGTAACTGATGATGCAAACCTACCAGCATCCAGAATGATACGTGCCGCCCTCTTCTGAAGCTTTAAAACCCTTTGAATACATTCAATGCTAGAATTGTCCCATACCGTGTCCCTATACATCAAAATAGGCTTTATAACTCCATTGTAGTATGTTTCTCTTTGTCGCTTCTTCAGGTGGGGGCTTATGTGCTTTAGAAGACCCAGGCGTCTCGATAGTTTTTTACACAGCTCGTCAATATGAGGCCCGACCGTAACATTTCTATCGCGGTAAGTTACCCCAACAACTTATGCGAGGAAACGTCCGAAACGCATCTTTAATATACACAATGTTTATGAACTAATAATATATATATATTGATCCCGAGAAACCTTAATAATTCAGTTTAGCACCGATATTATATATAGTATCAAATCATCGTTTATTCAACTTTCTCTTTCTTGTCTCATTGATGACATCAAAGCTTGAATTTCTTTGTTGCGGGCGGAGTTGCTTCCAGAGGTATAATGATCATATCACATAACCGGCTACCAATTAAATCGAAAAAAGTTATCAGGACTAGCAAAATACTTGTGATTTTAATAATCTAAAATAAGCTTTACCTTTGATATTCCCTGGTCATCTTGACCTTTCTCTAGAATCCAATCAGGTGTTGTGGAAGATGGAAAAAACTATTTTCTGTTCTCCATAACGATGAAAGTATTTCTCCAGTTGGGAAATGAATTTCCATAAAACTCTGTAAGAAATTTGTCTTGTTTTTTTCCTTCTAAGTTTCAGCAAGAGTTGATTGACAAAGCTGACAAACAATTCCTAAATCTGATCTGGTTTCGCTTTGAAGCTCTTCCAAACTGGATGGTCTCCAAGTGTAGCCAATTGTCCTTTAATTTGTTCCACTTAATTTCTGGCGTGTTCCCTGTTACGTTAGTTAACATATTTGCTTCCACGGGCGATGAGAAGGTTCCATTGATGGATATGACCACACACTTTCACGTTTCGACTGTTTCTTAATCTCCGTCCCGCCAGTTCCTTATATGGTAAAATCCTGTTTTTCTCCTTTTAAGCGCAACTCTTCCGCTAGGCTTTCGGTAACATTTTATCCAGTGGAGCAAGGATCCAGCATAACATTGATTTTTGGCTTTTTGCCGCCAATTTCGACAGTTGTAGGGAGAACCATCAGTGATAGTTGTCCAATTGCAGGATTGTTCTGATCTTGTTTGTTGTCATTATCTTCATTTTGTTTTCCTATTCTCTCAGCTAGGTCGTGCAACAAGTTGCTATGTTCTTTACTTTCACATCCGCTGACTCCACATTTTCTCTTTCTGCCACAATACTTACTTCGGTGACCAGCCGCTAGACTAGAGAAGCACCTTCCTGTTTTAGCAATTAGTTGATTTCGTGTAGCTACAGGGAGCTTTCTAAATTCTGGACAAACCCAAGGCGGATGATAAACGTCGCAATTCATAACGACACATTTCCTAGCTTTCGTATCCGTATTAAAGCCCTGATTATGACGTCGTCCTCCATGGTACCCTTTGACGAATTCTCCCGTTTTCTCCAAAGCCTCGTCCATGATGCAAACACGCCTCTCGATCCACTGGACCAACATTTTAAAATCATCATCTTCATCCCGTTCATTTAACCTATACTTATACTCTCTGACGTATTCCACTGAGAGTTTTTCCTTCACTGTTAAGCAAAGGTGCTGACTTCTAATTTCATCATCCACGATCAACGTCTTCTAATGCGATAAGAATACGGTCTAGCGTTAACAACATGGTTTCCAATTCCTCCAGGTTATATCTTCGTACTTTGGGTAGTGCTCTTAAGGTTACCAAATGGGTCAGGGTCTGTCTACGTTTACCACCGTATTTGCATTGTAACTTTTTTTTCGCTCTCTCGTACGCATGCTGAGTGAATCCAAAGTCCCTGACCGTCTCTAAGACTCTAACACTTTTCCTTTTAGACAGTTCTGCAGCCGTAGCATTTTCTCCTTTACTGGTATTTTGGTCCCTTCAACAACTGATGTGAGCGCCGCGTTCCACGCCTCAAAATTGGTTTTATCGATTGAGTTCAACTTCTTCTGCTTTCTTTCGCATTTCTTCCTCTAGAGATCTCTGCTCTTCCTCTTATTTTTCTAGTCGTTCATTAGCATCCCCCGCTTCTTGTTCTCGAGATTTCAACAATTGAGTCTCTTTTCACTGACTTTGGGATCTTATCATTTGAGGAACTGGTTATG